AGAAAGGTTTTACTTTATTTGAAGCTATAGGTGCATAGACACGAACACTGGTTTTCAAAGAGCATGGTATGTTATAGTACATTCAAACTACTGAGGCCCAATTGCAGGGGTTCCCCCGCACGCCATCGGGCCCTAGGAGCAAATGCTTCTAGGCAGCATACGTTATCTCTTTCTCACGGTGTTTTGTGAGAGTCTCCAGCAACTAACAGGCAGCGGCAACCACCTGTGGCCTTGAGAGATATAGACAGTTCGGCAGGCTAAGCAATTATGCGCATCAACAGTTATACATGTGAAAGTGAAAGCACACAGAAAGAATAAAACAAAACATTGGCAGCTTGCTGACACTGGGAACCGTCCCTCAGAGAGGGACTGGTTGATAATCTCCCTGAGGGCACCTCGAAACCCCTCGTGGCCCGCTTTAATGAGCCAGGAAGGGCACGGATCAAGGTTGCACGTGGTTGGGCGTACAGCTGCAAACAATCTGTCAACTTACTCTAGGCTGAGCGGGCCAAAATAATCCAAACCCGACAAGGACGTGCAAGGGATCTTGAGTTTGCTCACTGTTTCAAACATGGCGGGAAGGTCACGGCGGAGCGCCAAGACTTTATCCGCTAAATAGCTCGCAAATGCCTCACAGCCAATCTCCAATTCCCTAGCATTTGGTCTGCCCTGTGGCAGAGCTGTTATCCACTGAATCGTTCTAAACAATTGGGCTGGGTGTGAGCTGGTGGACGCAGTCGTAGCCGCATAGAACTCTCTCTTAGTGGCTTTGGCTGCCATCTCACAGGATCTCATAAACGTCCTATAAGATGCTGTTGTAGCTTCGTCTCGAGTGCAACACCACCTTCTCTCTAGCCATCTTAGCTCCTGCTTCATAAGCTGCAACTCCTGGGTAAACAAGGGAGCGAGCCTAGAGCGGGGACGCAGAGGGCGCCGGGGAGCGATCTTATCGATGGCTGTAGAGAGCTGGCTATGCCAGTCCTCCACAAGCTCATCCAACAAGCCGCCAGGGGGCATCGGATCCCACAGGGCCATCTGGAACCGCACTGGGTCCATTTGACTCCGTGGGTGAGCTAAAATACCTTCACCGCCTAAACAGGGTCGGGGTCGAACATCCAGACAGGCCCCCCCACAGGGATTTCAGATCTCATGAAAGAATTTCCTGTCCACACTCAGTTAACAGAAGAACATAAATCTCTTGTAGAACAACCTATATTAGAATCAGAGGTCAAAGAAGTGCTAAAGTCCCTAAAACCGAATAAATCCCCTGGGCCAGACGGATTCCCGGCCGAATTTTATAAAGTCTTTGCAGACCAGTTAGTACCCTATTTAACAAAGACGCTGAATCACACATTAGAGACAGGGGTAATACCCAGGTCTTGGAAGCAGGCGGTCATGGTCGTTATCCCGAAAAAAGGAAGGGATCCTTTGCATCCTAAATCCTATCGCCCCATCTCATTGATCAATCAGGATGCGAAAATATTTACCTCTATTCTAGCAAAGAGGATCAACAAATTTATTTCCCAATACATACATAAAGAACAGGTAGGATTCATTCCAAACAGGGACCTTACGGACAATACTTACAAAACGCTATCTATCATGCAATATTGTTCATCAAAAAAAATCCCAACAGCCCTTCTTGCTTTGGATATTGAGAAGGCTTTCGATTCTGTACAATTCCCTTATCTTTTATCGACTCTAACTGCCATGAATTTTGGACCCAAATTTATACAAACGATTCAAAATCTATATACGGACTCATCTATCAATATAAAAGCAAGTGGATCGATTTCAGATCCTATATACCTACATCGGGGCACGAGACAGGGTTGTCCACTATCGCCAGCTCTTTTCGCTATGGCGATTGAGCTTCTGGCTCAAGCAATAAGATCCCATAAAAATATCTTTGGAGTGAAAATTGGGGAGTCGGAATACAAAACCTCACTGTTCGCGGACGACATGATTTTATACTTAACCAATCCAGAAGTCTCTCTTTCCAACCTGATGCCATTACTTAGCAACTTCAGCAAAATTTTGGGTCTTAAAATTAACGAAACAAAATCCCAAATGATGCCTATCTCTATTCCCGTGGAGGAACAAACCCACCTGAAAGGGAACTACCCATTTGAATGGGTCACAGAAAATTTACCTTATTTAGGGATCAAACTGACAAATAATCTAACCAATTTGTTTAAATCAAACTATCTAGAATTGCAAAAAGAAGTAGACCACCTCATGGATACTTGGGGACGTCTCCACCTTACATGGATTGATCGTTTTCATTTAATAAAATCATTTTTACTTCCTAAATACACATTTTTATTCAGGGCACTCCCAATTGCCATCTCTGAGAACCAATCAGAGATGGTCTTAATTTTAAAACCTGGCAAAAACGCAATATTTCCTGCATCGTATAGACCGATATCACTATTAAATTCAGATGGCAAAATATTTACCAAAGTAATAGCAAATAGACTTAAGAAAATACTCCCAGAGTATATACATTTAGACCAATCCGGATTTTTGCCTAAGAGAAACATAATTGAAAACATAAGAAGAACTTTAATTATCATCTTACACTGTGTAAACAACGCCATAGAAGCTTTGTTGATGTCCCTGGATGTCGATAAAGCGTTTGATAGTATTGAAACAAATTATCTACAAGAAGTTCTCATAGGTATGAATTTTGGGGAAAATTTTCAAAAACTAATTCAAGCTATACGGATAAGGGCCTGATCTCTGCGACCTATCAACTCCTAAACTCATTAAGCTTAACTAAAACAATCCCTTATCAAAGACTGTGGCAAGCTGACTGCAGTGCGCATCTCGATGACAATTTCTGGAAGGAAGTCTGGGAGACCAGAAATCCTTTCCCAAATTCTATACCATTGGAGATGCAGAACTTTAAAATTTTGACAAGGTGGTATCTGACCCCTCAACGATTATCCCGCATATACCTATCAAGTAATCCAAAATGCTGGAAATGTGAAGAAATCGGCACATTTGTTCACCTATGGTGGGAATGTGAACAGATCGCTAAATTTTGGAATGAAATTAAAAAGATCATTTTTAAAATAACAGGCCTTTCAATTCCCTTAAATCCAGAGAGTCTTTTCCTCAACCATTGGCCAACCTACATTGAAACCCACCATCACAAAAAGATCTTGGATATTATGATATTCGCAGCCCATACAGCAATAGCCCCCTGCTGGAAAAATCCAAAACCACCAACGATGTCTTTATGGTATCAAAAGCTATGGGACCAGTTTCTTATGGATTCGGTCACCAATAAAATTAATAATTCAAGTTTGAAGCCTGTGTCTCGACCCATAATGGAAAAATGGGCTCCCATTTTAGAATTTTTGGCCTCAGAAGAGTACCTGCCTGCCTCCTGGTACCATATGCAGAAGTGGTTATAAGTGCTCCTGTACTCTGTAATTTGATTACTGAACAATGATTCTTTTCATTTACCTCAATCTTCCCACGCAATATCCATACCTCTTAAAGTCATAGAGCATTAAATGGTTCCCCTTAGGGGACTTCAGTTGTATAGTCTTGTTATACATAATGGTTATGTTAGTTCGAAATGTGATTGTATCTCTTTTGGATATGAAAACACTTTATTCTGTAATGGATGAATTACCAGTTCTTTGTATTGAATTTGTATTTTACTTAATGAAAATAAAATAAAAATTATAAATAAAAAAAAGAACATCCAGACAGGCCTTCAGGGCATGGTGGTCCAAACATTGTACTGCCAAAGCAGTAATCCAGTCCACTGTTACCCCCGCCATGAAGATAAAATCGAGCATTACTGTCTGATATAGACAGTAATGGTCAAGTTACATACTGAAGAACAATGCAATATGATGCATCAGACAACATAAAACAGCTGGATTAGGAAACTGGAAGACAATGCAATAAACACACCATGATACATTCAATGAAAAATATGCTAATTCCGCTACAATTAACTACAATCTTAATTCCCTTTAGAAAAATGCCCTTATAAATAATTTCATTCTATGTGTTCTGCAGAAGATAAGAGTGTGAGAAAATTCCTCACCTCATTAGGAAAGCTCTTCCACCAGGTGGGAGCTACAGTGATAAAGGTCACATACGAGCTGCTTGTGGCATCTTCAGAAGCTCTTTGCTCAGATGAACAGATTGCAGAAACAATATCACTTCGGTATTTGGTACTGCACCTACTGGATGATTATCCAGTCATCCCCTTATGGAAGGGCGTGAGGGAATTTTAGGGTTGGGTGGGCCAAATTGGACATTCCCATGTTACCTTGTTGCTTTCAGGTTTCCTAGTAGCTACTACTATTTTGGCTGTGTTGGCTAGGAATAGGATTTTTAAATGAACAGAATGTAGATTATGGAGGAAACCTGGCAGATGACCCTCCTGGTGTTATAGTGACTTGGCTGACAAAAGCAGAGAAAGCACCTCCACCGAAGCTATAATGCCAAGCCTACTGGTTGGTCAGACATTCAGATCCCCCTAAGTGCATGTCAAAGCAACATTTTCTAGAAGGGCAGTTTCTGATGCTGAGTGGGAGCAGGGAGAATTGGAGAAGAGCTGCTGAAGTTTGCTACTTCAGAACATGTGCCGTTTGTGTCTGCACTGATAAGGTGAACTCTTCACTTGATCCCCTGCACATATTTTGCAGAAGGTAAACTTGTCACCGTGAGGACGTTCTTATCCATGTGAGAATATGCCCATGGTCATGAGGCCTTTTGCAGATGTACTGTTTTGGTTTGGGCCCAGAACCAGAGTGTCATGGAACTCCCTCCCCAGGAAGATTTTGTCTTCTATCAGAGTCTTCCTCCAGTGGGAGAAGACTTTTTTTTTGGGGGGGGTGTCTAGCAGTCCCTCACTGATTTCTCATTGAACCTTCCTCCTGTTGGTGTTCCATTTTAATTATTTATATATATGTGTATGTGCTTTTAATCTTGTTTTTATTGTTCACTTTCATACAAATCTTTTGATGCAGATTTCCTCTCCATGATAAAGAAAGATTGGAGAAATGGTTACGGAACATGAAGCGTGACACTTGGATCCCCAGCAAGCACCAGGTCCTCTGTAGTGACCATTTCACACCAGACTCTCTTGATGTGCGATGGGGTATTCGATACTTGAAAACAACTGCAGTGCCAACTATTTTTTCGATGTCTGATAATCAGGTAATCTACAACAGAGCAAATTGGAAATACTTTATGTGACAGATATTCTGAATATGGGATTTCACCTCATGCCGAAAGTGGGATAATCCCCATTCACTTTAACATGATTAGTTTTGTAGCCATTTTCTGTTATATTTACTGATATTTGATTTCAACTGAGAAGAAGGAATTTGTTTGCCAACAGGATTTTGTTACAGCCATGCAGGCTGATTCTGTGGCCAAAATATATACAAGGGGGACCAGCAATTCAAAGTAGTACAACAATAATAATAAGAAATTGCTGTAAGGTTCACAAATCACAATGAATAGACAATAACAACTTGTACAAAAATGACGCTTGATGATGTTTATAATTTCTATGTTTTCAGAACACAGGACGTCAAATACGGAAGGTGAGCGATACGAACATCTCGAGTGGTTGTTCGTTTCGAGACAACTCTTTTTCACCCAAAATTCAGTTCTCTGGTTGTCTTATTGTGTTTAGCTGTGATATCAATCTTATCCAACATCCATTTCAAAAGCACATGGGCTAACAAGTTTTAACAGCACAAAGGCTAACAAATTTTAAATTCCGTATTTGACGTCCTGTGTTCTGAAAACATAGAAATTATAAACATCATCAAGCGTCATTTTTGTACAAGTTGTTATTGTCTATTCATTGTGATTTGTGATTCTGTGGCCAAGCCAAAAGTCTATAGAGCTATGAACACAAGCTAGTTGGTATACTATGTTCCGCTAGCATTGGCACCTCGACACGCTGGTTTAATTTAATGGACTTCAAACACAGGACATATAACATGCACACACAGCTCCATAGCAACTGTGGAGTTCTTCCATTGCTCGTGTCATACGCAGACAATTTGCTTATTCATTGTACAGAAGAAAATGTAGCTCAGCATCAGGCTCTGATAACACTTAGCCCCTTGTTGCTGGTTCTCAGCTCCACCAAACAATCAGTAGGGGCTTGGAAGAAGAAGAGAAGAGATTGGATTTATACTGTGCCCTTCAATACCTAAAGGAGTCTCAGAGCGGCTTACAAGGAGGAGGAGTGGGGAATCAAACCCAGTTCTCCCAGATTAGAGTCCATGCTCTTAACCACTACACCAAACTGGCTGTCCCCAAACTGACTCCTCCTTACTACAGCCCCCATTTCACATGACTTTTGTCCATACAGGTCCAGGATCATCAATGTATCTTTGGGGGGGGGGGTGTTTAAGGGAGACTGCCTCTTCCTTTTTTCCAAAGCAGAAAAGTTAGTTGGATCCAGTCTTATATATGTCTCTTACACCTTTGATTTTTGTAAACCAAGGTAAATGACTAACAGTTACTTATGTATACATTCAAGTCTGTATGTTTTATAAATGGCCCATTATAAATCTAGTTACTGACACAGTTGCTGAAATTCTTTTTGAGTAATAAGATTTGGGCAGTGTATTGAATCAAAACATCTGCAAGTTGAGCGAAGCTTGCAGATGGCATCTTTCCAGTCTCTTTCCTTCATTCTCCAGCTCCAGTGTCCTCTCAAAAGGAGTTGAGGGGATGCCCTCAGGAAAGTTGTGGATGTGATGGGGAGGGCCTACAGTGGGAAGGAGCAAGTGGCAGGATTTCTTGCACATAGACACTTGCACAACCTTTTTGTTGACTGAACTAGGAGCTTATGCAACATCCTGGGTGCATCTCAAAAGAGTATTGCCATTGAATACTGCTTCCCACTGCAGCCCATCATACTATATTGCACACTTTCCCCAAGGTTCTCCTTATCACCACTACTCCTGACCTCCGGGAACCGCTTTTCAGGAGATGCGGGCAGTTGGAGGAAAAGGGAGAAGAAGAAAAAGAACCCTTTCCAGAGGCTTAGCTCACAGAAGACTGGATCCAAAGGTTTCCTTCTTCTAAAGGGAGGAATCCTCTTTTGGAGGAAGGACTCCCTTTTCTAATGGAAGAAAATCTTTCCTTCCAACCCAACTTATTTAATGTACCAAACAATAAGAATTCATTGTAGAATGCCTCATGGTAAACAATTTCTTAATAAAATAACATGTGTTCCTTCTTTAGGAAAAAGGGATCTCCCAGGAAAAGAGAACCGAAGATGACAAAGAAAAAACCCCATGGAGTACAGCAGTTACTTCTTTAAAACCTTGTTCACCAAAGAGGGATAATATAATTGAAGAAAGGTTTTACAGGAAAGCCCTTTGCACAACTTTAAGCAAGTCTTCTGAACAGAAAACACTACTTCAGAATGTCATGAAATCTGAAGACATCGTATCGCCAGATAATTCCATTAGGCCGACTTTTGAACAAACAAGCCCCGTGGTAATAACAAATGATGTACAGACTGTTGCAGCCAGTGATTGCTGCACCCCAGAAAACGTGTGTTTTGACAGCTCTGTAGAACATCTCTTTAGTGGTACAACCACAGTTTTGCACGCTACAGTTCACAATCTTCAGTCATGTCTTGAGTGCGTCTCAGATCCTAAAGCCACAGTTCTGCAGCCTGCAGATTTCCAACACTTGGATTCATCTCTAGAATTTAGTAATGTGACTTTACCTGTTAATGCCCTCCCACCTGATCAGCTAGAGTCTCACGTGGCATGCTGTACAGTGGAAGTCAAGCCATCTAGCGAAAACTCCTTGTTGCTCCACACTGTGTCGCAGGCTTTGGAACAGTTTAGTGGAGAGAAAGAGTCTGTTATCACCATTATAGTTCCTTCAGAGGATTCAAAAAACCCTTTGTTATTAGAGAGCTCAATTGTGCCAGTGGACCAGGAATTAATTGACATTGAAGCTGAAGCATCTGCATATATCACCAGTGACAATGGTCTTGAAGTGCTACAAGTGGAGCATTCATATTGTAGGCAAGATGTAGACAGGGAGCAACTCTGGCAAAAAATTACAAAGCTGCACTCAAAAATAGCACTTTTAGAAGTACAGGAGCAAAAGACTTTAGGCAGACTTAAATCCCTGGAAGCACTTATTGCCAAGCTGAAGCAGGAAAATCTGCTTTCCGAAGAAAAACTCAAGATTGTTGAAAATTGTTTCACAACCTTTGAAGTGACTATGATACAATAAAAGCTTTAAAGTGATGGTTTCAACTAATTCTTTGCAGTTCTCAGAGGGAAACAAATTCAGAAAGTGTGCTCTGGGGAAAAGAACTCTTTACCCTAAAGATCCATGGTAGAATATTATCCAAATTCCTGGGTAATCAAGTGTGTGGATTTAAGATAAGACCAGCTCGTAAATCATTATCAAGCTTAAATAAATCTAAAAGTTGTATTTGAATTGAGAGCTTTGAAAAATTGAAAGGAGGAGTTCCATTATCCAACAAAAGAGTACAGGCAACTGTTTCACCATTAGTTTCGGGAAAATACTTGTAGTTCTGCAAATCTTATTTCAGTTTTGTCCTTTTTCTTAGTATTTGTTACACTCCTTTATTGACAGAAGACATATTTCATAATTAAACGAAAATGTCTTTTTTCCTTAGTGACCATTGTATTTTATTCAGTGTTTTGGTTTCTAGAGTTTATTGCTTAGTTGTATTACCAATTAGAGAGTAGCACTCCTGAGGTAAATCCAGTATCAGTACATTAGTGAAATGTGGCCACTTAAAAATAAAACAAGTACAGTAGCATCTCAAACACGAACTTAATTTTTCCATTTTAAGATTATAAGTAGAACTTCCTAACGCTTGTGATATCAAAACATTTCCTGGCTAAGAAACAGTTAACATGCTTGCCTTTATTTTGGAGCTATTAAAAAAAGTTGTTCTTAATGACTTGGACTGTAAGTGGACTTTCCACTTGCCCTCTTCTTCTTCTGCAGTTTTTGCCTATTTCCACTCAGTGCTGCCCCCACTATGTTTCTAAGGGTAAAAGGAAGTACTTCTTCACCCAAAGAGTTATTAACACATGGAATTCACTGCCACAAGAGGTGGTGGTGGCTACAAGCATGGATGGCTTCAAGAGGGAATTGGATAAACATAAGGAGCAGAGGTCCAACAGTGGCTATTAGCCACAAGGTATAGATAGGAACTCTTGGTCTGGGGCAAGTGATGCTCTGTATTCTTGGTGCTTCGGGGGGGGCCAGTATTTTTGGCCCCTGTGTGACAGAGTGTTGGACTGGATAGGCTATTGGCCTGATCCAGCATTGGCTTCTCTTTATGTTCTTATGTTCACTGGCCCACAGAGGTGCAGTTTCAGGGAAACAAGACTGCAGCAGAACGGGGAGGCAGAACTAATCACCGTTTCTGCAGTGTGGCTCTGCTCACACTGTATAGTATCTAACATTTATTTCTTGAGCTAAACTTTGGTGTTCTGTAATAAGTTATGAATTGTGTTCCTTAAGTGCCTACTGTTGGCACTGTTATAGAGAGGACTGATTTTTTGGTCTTGCTTCAGGAATAAGAATGAGTGATATTTATACATCTACTATGTATAAGAACGAGAGCCAAAGACAAAAATGTAACAGGGATAAGATTCCTATGCTAAGACTTCAGTGCACATGGCCCATAGGTAAACTAAATGGAAATGAACCAGAAGGGGTTACATATGACCTTTAAAAAATTGTTGTTGAATTGTTATTCCCTTGGTAGCCCTTTCAGGGATCATGCAGCCACACAGATCAGGCACTGCAAATGTACTCAGAAGATGCTGCAACCATTTCTGGAATTTTGAGGAAGAGATCTAGATATCATCTAATATAAATGGGGGGGGGGGTGTCACAAAGACTTGATGGAGCATTTCATTTTCTCCTTCCCTGCTATTTCACCTTTCCCTTCCTTGAAAGCCCCTACAGCCCCTCCCCTTTTCCTGCTTCCTTCTTTTCAACAATCAGACAGCCTTTGTTGATCTA